CGACGGCTGCGAACCGCGGGGAGAGCACGCTGGCTGCCGGTGCCCAGGGAGGACAGCGACGTCGGCCATCACGCGCGCGGTCGGCTGGCTGCTCCTCCATGTCGGCCCGCGGCGCGCAGGAGCGCGCCCTGCCCGATCTCGTTACTTTGAGACATGTGCTGGAGCAGGGCCGAGCGGTGCTGCCAGTTCCGCGTCTTCCTTGGCCTGGAGCTTCTCCCTCAGCTCGGCCAAGGCGGATGCGCCAGCGAGAGTCGCGACGACGAGCAGTTCATCGGCGGGCCGACGGATTCCTCTGGGTAGTGCTCTTGGGCGTTTTTTTGGAACGACAGGGGAATCCGTTGCCCACCGATCTTACATGGGGGCAACAGACGCAGGTACGACAAGGGCGCCCTTGCGATGGCGGGGGGGCTGAGCGACCATCCCTGATTGATAATGACGATGTAATCTTTCTTGATTTTCAAGGTGGCCTCGCTGAGTTCGATTGTGCCTGCAAACATGGCAAGAGAGACCGCTGCTGGCAGCGCGGCGCGGTGGCCGCCTGGCTGAAGCAAAGATGCGCTAATTGTTTTTTCTCCAGGGCCCGCGAATTACCACGAAGCACGGCGCGTCGGTGACGGTGGTAGTGTACATCGCCGATGACTGGAAACAAACACACACTTCGGGGTGGCGGGTGTGCAGCGGCGGGGCGGTGAGTGAGAGCTCGTGGGCAGGTGGAGTGTGAGAAGGAGCAATGGGGGGGAAACTAAACGGCCTCGCTGACTCTGTTCCGACCTCAGAGTGGCGCGCTCGGGGGGGGCGCCCCAGGGGCAGCCCGACGCTCCAGCATGTAGTGCACCAGGTTCACCACGCATCCCCGTTCATCCTGGCGTGCATTACCGTCAGCCCGAGCTCACTGAAGAGGCACGCCTGGTCCCCGCGGCGGTACCTCCAAGCCCGCTCGTGAGCCCATTTCTCCAACGTCCCAGTGGAGAGGCTGTCGATCGTGCGGAGCTGCGTCGGGATCCTGTGCTTGAGGTGCTTCCACAAACCATCCTGGAGCTCCGTGCCCCCGTAGCACGCGAGCACGCTGCCATCGGAGAGGGCCAACTTGCAGATCTTCACCCACTGCTTACGGCAATGCTTGACCCTGGTGTTGAGCGGCAGCCTCCTGTAACACCGGGCACCATCAGAGTGCCAGATGACCGCGTTGTCGCCGGCAGTGTGGTTGATCATGAGGTCCTCCGTCTCGGCGATGCTCTCGGGCCTGGTCTTCCCCCCTTTCGGCGTGGTGTACAAAGGGAGCGGGTAGATCACCGTGGACTTTCGATCTCCGCGGCGGGACATGCCGAAGTAGCGGACATGGAGCAGCCGGCCATTGTCGAGCGTCACGGTGCGCAGAGTCGTAGCATCCACCTCGGAGGAGTAGGAGGAAGGGGGGTGGTTCGGATGAAGGGGAAAAGTTATGCGGGAGGAGACCTCGCATTGCCCAGAGAACACGACATCGCGCTGCTCCATCTTACTGCCGATAGCAATGACGTCGCGCAAGGCGTCCAAGACCTCCTTGCAAGTCCTGTTCGCCACTCCTGTCAGCTGCGCTGCGTCATCCTGATGTATCTGGCATGTCAACTGCCCGCTTGCGAGCCACGCCAAGGCGGCGAGCTTCTTCATTGGGATCTCGTGGTCTGCCCAAGTCCCAGATGTTGCCCTGTTAAACTCGCGGCAACCGCGCCTGTAGCACTGCACCCCAGGGTGACGTTTGCCGCGGAAGTACGTCTTACCCAAGGGCCACTGGCAGCCTGCGCATTCCGTGTTGTGGAGGTCCTGGAGGAAACCGAGCTTCACGAGCATCCAGTAAGCGGCCGTGTCGTCCATGGCAAGTATCTCGTCAAACGTCCACCGCTCCGCCTTGGCAACCCGCCCGCGACGCACCGTATCAGCGCCTTTCTGCTCGGTCGGAGTGTAGAAAACGCCGGTGCGCTCCAGGGCCGCCCTCTTGCGCTTCCACGCTGCCCTCGCCTTGCGGGCCATCGCCAAACTCTTGTTCGACCGCTCCTGCGAACTCCGCTTGTTCCGCTTCTTCTGGGCGAACTTACGGAACTTGGTCTTGACGGGAATGTTCGGAGTCGCTGCGGCGGGCCGGCGGATCGTGGCAGCGGCGGGCTTGCGCTTCGGAGTGCCGTGTGTGCCCACTGCAGCGCCGCGAACCATCGCTCAGGAAGTGGACGCGCGCCAGCCTGAGTGCGCGGGGGGCAGGAACTGGAACCGAAACGGCAACTGGAGTGGCAGACATGGGCTACACGGGGGCGTGTAGACGCCGCTGCGCACACGGCAGTCGATTGCTGGAAAGGTCCAGGGGCGATCGCGGCATAATGGGGCAGAATCTTTTTTTCTAGCGGGCCCGACAGCTCGCGCATGATTGCAAGCACACGCACGGACGGCCAGGAGTAGGTGAGCGGGAGGAGGCGGGTGCAGGAGCGGACACAACATTGCTGGTATCACGCGCGCAACTACTCCGAGAGAGGGCGCGGCCTCAGGGGACCGAGGCGTCAGAGTTGATCTTCGGCTCCAAGCGTCTCTGCAACGTCTTGCTCACCTCGTCGTCCGCGCTGGCCCCTCCAGCAGGCCCCTTGTCCGCTTTGTTTTCCTCGACCGTCTTGGTGCTGTTGGTAAACTTGTCCTTGAGGTCCTCGTTGCTGTAGTTCGGGCGAGCGGCCACCGCCTCTCCCTTTGTGAACCTGCGCCAGGCCTCATCCTCCACCGAAGGGGCCGCCATCTGTAGTTCAGGCCGCACAACGGCGCAGAGCCGGGGGTCAGCGAGCGCGCGCGGCGACGGGCCGCGGCCCGACGATCTCGAGCCTGAACGCCTGCGGCGGCGACTCGATATCGGGTCGGTCTCTGAGCGTGCACCGATCAGACATGGGGCCAACAGGCGCAGCTACGACAAGGGGCGCCCTTGCGATGGCGGGGAGTCTGGGCGACGATCCCTGATTGATAATAATGATGTAATCTTTCTTGGTTTTCAGGGTGGCCTCGCTGAGTTCGATTATGTCTGCAATCATGGCAAACAGGGGCCGCTGCTGGCAGCGCGGCGCGCTGCCCGCCTGGCTGAAGCAAAGATGCGATAGTGTTTCTCCAGGGCCCGCGAATTACCGCGAAGCTCGGCGCGTCGGTGGCGGCGGTAGTGTACATGGCCGATGACTGGAAACAAACACACGCACAAAACGCATGCACACTTCGGAGTGGCGGGTGTGCAGCGGTGGGGCGGAGAGAGAGAGCTCGTGGGCAGGTGGAGTGTGAGAAATAGCAATGGGGGAGAAAGTAAACTGCCTCGCTGTCTCCGTTCCGACCTCAGGGGGCGCGCGCGGGGTGGGCGCCCCAGGGGCAGCCCTGCGCTCCAGGATGTAGTACACCAGGTTGCGGCCCTGGGCCTTCTCCAGGTAGTACTCCGCCTGCATCACCTGCACGAGCGATGGGGCCGCGGGGTCGAAGAGCCCGAGCTCCTTGTTGCTGTACCGCAGGCCGTATGCGTGCCTCGGCGTGCCCTCGCGGCAGGGGTCCTCCAGGACCACGAACGAGCGGCCAGAGTGGACCTCCTCGAAAATGACGTGCTCGTGGGTGGGGGCGAAGAAGGTCATGGCGGAGTTGTTCCTCTGGGAGCTGTAGAGAGAATTGTCGTTGACCTCCTGCATTGTCAGGACTGCCAGGTCCTCCGGAGAGAGGTCCGCCATCGTGGCGCCCATGCCCGCCCACCACGCCGCCGTCAGGAGGAAGTTGCCCTGGTCTGGCACGGGGGTGAGGAGGAGACTGATCTCGGACCCGCAACCGTGCAGGACGGCAACGCCCAGACGATCGGGCGAGTTGCTCGGCCAGGACTGGATAGCGAATTCGACGCAGGAGGCCGCGTTCGCAGTGGCCACCGCCAGCCGCACCAGGGCCTCCTGCTGAAAGCAGGTTGCCAGCGCGAGGCAGCCGTCGAAGAGCAGCACCTCGCTGGTGGTGGCCGCAATGCGGCGGAGGTTCGCGATGAGGATCATGAGAGCGTCGTCCTCCAGCTGGGACAGGACGGCCGCGATCCGACTGTAATCGGGAGACGGCCTGTCGGCGTACAGCTGCCTGTAGGCCGCGAACTCGGCGTGCGCCAGCACGGCGGCCACGACGTCCTTGACCTCGCTGCAGAGCTTGAGGAGCCACGGTACCTGGGCCACGGGCCTGGCTCCATAGAAGATCTTGATGATCTCCACCTTCGCCTCTTCCACTGGGACTCCGAGATACTGCGACAGCGCGGACCTCCACTGCTTGTAGAAGCGGCACACGCGCGCGAGCATGGGGAAGCGCTCCTCGGAGTACACGCCCGCCCGCTGAAGCGCTACCTTGAAGAGCCGCGGGTGGCAGCACGGAGCGTCGGGGCCCACGTGGTCAGGGAAAGCGACCTTCCTCGCCTCGCGAGACAGTTTCTGCCCAGCAGGCCCGCGCGCAAACTTCCGCTTGTACCACTCCTTTGTCTGGTACGGCACCTGCAAACTGACGACAGAGTCCTCCCCGTTGGCCACCCAGGCGTCATCGCACCTCTGCAGGTACGCCTCCAGCATCTTCTGCCCCCGATCGGTCCCAGTCTTCGCATGCTCCGTCAGGGCGATAAAGTCTGGCCTTTCCGTGCACTTGAAGTCCGTGGCCAGCCTGCCCTCGCGGCCAGTGACATCTTCCATGTTCTCCAGGATCATGCTGTACCACTCCACGGCTCCGTCCTGCGTCAGGTTGGCCTGGGCATCGATGTGGTCGAACGGGGACCCCCAGTCGCTCCAGCTCCCGAACGCCTGATCGCCCCCATTCGCGACCATGGCTTCGACCATGCTGTCGTAGTTGACCAGGAGCTTCCGCACCGCGTTGGCGTCGGAGCGCTGGAAGAGGACCACGGGGGACTTCTCCAGAGCATCGATCAGGTTTTGCCACTTAGAGGCATGTTTCCTGCCCGCCTGGCGCGCCCCTGGCAAACAAGGGAGGGACGAGAACAAGTACTCCTTCAGGACATGCTTGGCCGGCGTGGCCTTGTGGGCGGCGACGACGAGCTTCGTAGCCCCCGCGTGGGCCTCGTCCTCCTCGCCGGGCGGAGAGTCATGGCCGCCGCTGAGGCGCGTGCCCAGCCACGCGGTGTCACGAGCGACCCTCGGGCAGACGGCCACCAAGTTGTCCTGCATGCGCAGGCAGTTGGGGATGGACCCCTCCGCACTCTTGAAGAAGGGGCGGCACCAGTTCCGAAACATCAAGCACGAAGTAAACCCGTGGGCGAGGAAGGGGTCGAGCTCCGCCTGCGGGATCTTGAGGAACCTCCCCTTGGAGTGATCCACGTCCTTCGGGTCGTTCACGAACTGCGCGCGGCCCATGCGGCAGCAGATGATCCTGCGCTGCAGTTGCACCAGCGCCTTCTCGCTGCTCCCAGAGAACTCGATGGTCGGGATGTTCTCCCAGTTCAACTCCAAGTCTTTCTTGGACTCGCCGAACTTGCGACTGCTGTTGAAGCCATAGTTCACTCGGCAGGTGAGCGCCTCATCCACGACGAAGCGCTTCCATATGTCGCCCAGGAACGTGGCGCCCCCGTCGCACTCCTGGACCCGCACGGCACTCATGGCCCAGGCGTCCCCCCCAGCCTTCCGCCACTCGGTCGTCGCCGTTGCCTCAGATCCCCCGCCGGGGCCAGGAACGGAAAGGGGGAATACAACGCAATGCAATCCAATGCGATTGCGATGCCAATGCAATGCGGACGCAATGCAATGCGATGCGATGGCAATTCCACGCGCCTCGATCGCATCGCTCTTCCCCGCGAGCCCCTGGAGCGCCCCCCCCCTGGAGTGCGCGGGGTCATTCACCAGCGGCCTGGAACCGTGCAGGCCTGCTGCCGCCCCACTGCGGCCAGCGCCGCTTGTGATGGCCGACTCGTGGCGGGAGGGGGGGGGGGGCGCCCCCCCCCAAAAAAAAAAAAAATCTTCTTGAATTTTCAACTTGTTTTTTTTTTTTGGGGGGGGCGCCCCCCCCCCCCCCGCCACCCCGAACGATGAGGAACACCCCACTACAATTACCGCCCCCCTGGCGGCGGAGCGGGCGTCCACGCGCGGGAGGGCAGAGAGAGGGAGAGTGAGAGACTGAGATAGAGAAAGAGGAAGAGACAGAGAGAGAGAGAGAGAGAGAGAGAGAGTGAGACACAGACACGCGCGCGCGTACTCCTTCCAAAAAAAACGCCCAAGAGCACTACCCAGGGGAATCCGTGACCATCGGCGTGCCAACGAGGTCCTAGAGGCTATGAGCCGCGTCTACGCTGGATCCATGAAGCAGCAGGCTGGCGGCCACCTCGAGAGGTGCGACTTACGACGAACAGACGGGGCCGCAGGACAAACTCAATCTCGCGCCATTCGGATGGCCTAGGAGCTTGTCGATGCTAGCCGGCAGGAATCGGTGACCAGCGTGCAAGCGATCAGCGAGCTGGTCAAGCTCGGCGAGATCACCTACTCGGGCTCGCGGAAACGGCAGGCACACGCAAGCTTCATCGCAGATAGGACCGATGCGGTGACCACCGAGAAGACCATGGACATGCTGGCGGCATTGCCATGGCACGAGGCCGAGTCCTACGCCGAGGAGAACAACGCCGTGGACTGGAGCGGCAAGTGCGCTCAGTTGCTGCGCGAGCTGGAGGAGCACCGCGGGTTCCTCGGCGGCTCGCAGGAGGAGCGGGCGCGCTACCTGCAGCGACCAGGACACCCACAGCGCCCGTGGACCTACATGCGCCGCCAGGACATTCGTGCCACCAACGGCACGAGCGCGGTTCCGAAGAGGAACCCCGCGAGGCTCATGGAGCTGATCATGGCGGCTGCCGCGAACTACGCGCGGTGCGATGTCAAGACGCGGGAGGACCATGGTCTTGGAGGCGGCGCGGCCCTGTCCCTCGTTCGCGTCCTCGCGGGCGCCCTGGACTTGGCCAGATGCGACCAATCGAACGCCTTCTCTTCAGTTCTCACACCTACCTGCCTGGTGGCGGCCGCGGATGGCCGCGCCACGCGTTCCAGCCGCAATGGTGCGACAGCAACTGCCTCTTGACATGATGGACGTCCCAGAAAAAGAGGTAGTTTGCCCGTGCTACCAGCGGCCCCGGATGGGCAGCCCCCACTCGGCGCGCGCCCCGACGGCGATCAACGCCACGAGCCTCGGGGAGACCCTGGAGTGCAACGGGCCCCGGACCGAATCGGCCCTCCGGCTCCTCCTGGAGCGCGGCCTCGTGCTCAGCGCGGAGGCGGTGCTTCGCGACCAGGAGTGAGTCGACGTGCAGAAGAACCGCAGGGGCGCATGCAGCTTCGAGCCGGGCCTCTCGGTGAAGGAGTTCGGGGAGACGATCCGGCGGCTCAGGCGATCGCTGCAGCGCTTCACGGCAGTGCTCCGCGTCTTCGCGAAGCCTCGCCGCCGAGGCGAGCTGCGCGCGGAGGCCTTCTCGCAGAGCACGGGGTCGCCCTCTTCTTCTTCGGCGTCGACCTGGCTTTCGACGCCCGCCGGGGATTCGCCGGCCCGCGCGCCGTCTCCGCGATCGCGGGCCTGGCCCGCGCGGGCTTGGTCGACGCGGTGTTTTGCGGCCCGCCGTGCGCGACCCGGGGCCGCATGCGGCGCCGCCTCGGGCGCCCCCCGCCCGGCGGCGCGACCAGGTGCCGGGGCTGCCGGGCCCGAGGGCCGCTGAGAGGACGCGGGTGCTCGAGGCCAACGCTCTACTTTTCAACTCCCCCAGCTTGCGCGTGGCCGCGCTGTCTCAGGGTGGCGCCTTTTTGATAGATTACCCTGCCGATCCAGGCCCGTTGCCCCCCCCCTCGGTCTTCCTCCCTGAGGGGGTGAAGGGCTTGGCTTTGCGAACGTGCATTAAGGTAGTCAACCTAGACCAGTGCGTGCAGGGGGGTGGCCCAAAAACCTGCAGGTCTCCTCTCCGACGCCCATCGGTCTCGACGAAGGGTTGCTGCTGCGCGCTGGCCGTCGCGCCCGCGACGCCGTCTCGGCAAATGATGATCGGGGAGTTTTCGCCTCTCGTCGTCTTCGGAGCTACCCGTCAGGTCTGCGACGTTTCTTCGGGCGGTGCGTTGCCCGTGCCCAAGTCAATATGCGAGATGGTCGCGGAGCCCCAGGGGGGGCGGCGCCGCCCTGCGAAAGCGCGACCTCGCACGTTTCATTGGAGTCGGGGAGCGGAGGGCCCTCTAGAAAGAAAGTCCGCGATGCTCAGCGGGAAGTACCAGTGTGGGGGGGGGGGGGCCTGAAGGCCGCGGGCGACGCCGCCGCCTACGTTCACGCGGCCGACGGGCTGCCGATGACGCTCGGCCGCGAGGGCGCGGGGCCCCGGCGCGCGGCCGGGGGTCCCAGGGCTTCTTGGTCGCCGAGCGCGTCAGGGCGGCCGACGACTTGAAGGCCGCGGGGCACAGGATCCAGAGGGGCCCCCCCCCAGCGTTCCGCTTCGACCCGCGCAAGGGCTGGCTGCTGCGCGAGAGCTGCCTCTGTCTGCTGGAGGTCGATTGGGTCGCCGTGGAGCTCCTCAGGGCGGTGGTGGGCCCCTGGCTGCGGGTCGCCCTCCTGCGGCGCGAGCTGCCGGCAACCCCGCGCGCGTTCTTCCGCGCGATGGGCAGGCGCGCCGACCAGATGGCCCGCTAGCGGCCGCCAGCGAGGCGCGAGCTCATGGCGGCGGCCCGCGAGGCCCCCGCGCGGAGCGCAAGCCAGGCCAGCCGGCGGCGCCCTGCGTCTACTTGCCCGACACGGAGGGCGTCAACGACGACGATTTCGGCGGCTACGGCATCGCGGGCGCGAAGGCCAACTGCGACCAGACGGAGGAGCGCGCGGCGGCGGGGGCGAGGCCCGGGCACGCCGCGGCCCGCCCCGACGGCAGGGTCGGCCACCTGAACGGGGCCGACCGCGAGATCGTGAACCGCGCCGCGGTGTCTCGCGTTCCCAGGAATCTGCTCGAAGCCGCCGCAGGACTGGATTGAGCTGGGAGCAGGGCGCTGGAAGTGCCCGGGTCACATTACGCTGGGTGAGCGCCGTGCCGCGATCGAGTTGCTTGCGGCGCTCAGCTGCGCCCCGGGGGCGCGCGGCTACTTGGTCGCGAACCTGGAGGACAACGAGGGCCTCTCGGCGGCCATGGCCGCAGGTCGCTCGACGGCAGCGAGCCTCAACTTGCCGCTCCGACGTCGCGCGGCCCTGCGCACGGCACCAGGTGCCATGTTCGCACTGCCCTGGGCGAACACCAAACGCCGGGCAGCTGACTGGCTGTCGCGACGCAAACGAGGCGGCGCGGACCGAGGCGGCTCGATCGCCGCCAGGCCCAGCGGGCCAAGCCGCATACCATCGAGACCCACCGACGCGAGGCCCGCGCCATCACCGCGCGGGCCCTCGCACGCAACGTCAACCCCGTCGGCCCGGACCAGTGGGTGGACGCGCTGGCGGAGTGCACGAACGCTTGAAAGCCTTTGCTTTCGCCGTCAAAGTTTCGCGACCTGTTGGCGGCAGTTGAACTGTTTCCCCTTCGCATGTAGGGTGAGCTGAAGCGGGCGCGCGCTGCGCTTCGAGGGTTGGAGCGCTGCCGCGCCATGAAGCACGCTGCGCCGCTCTCGGCAAGGCGCCGGGCAAGTTCTTGAGTATCGACCTGGCGCCCGCGGGCCACGCGAGGCTAGCCCTAGGTCTGGCGCTGCTGTGCCGCGCGGGACTCCGACCTTCAGGGATGCTTGGCTCGCACCCTCCACATGTATACTTCCCCCATCATTGCGCTGAGGCAGGAGAGGCTGCCATCTTGGCCCTGGGGGCCCGCTTATGCGCAAAAGCTCAGCGGCCCCAAGTGGTCATGCTCCCAGGGCGCCTGGATGTCATCGTCGAGGCACTTTACCGCTCTGCGCAGTTGACTCCTTAAGATCAGCTGGTGTTTACTTGCAGAAGTTCACGATGTCGTACACTGCTCAAGTCGGCCGAAGCGGCTCTGGGGCTGAAGGTGGGCTGGGGCCCGCGCTGACCGCGTGCCGGCTGGGCCGCCGACTCCCGCGCCGAGGGCGTTCCGTTCGCCGAGACCAGGGAGGGCGGCCGCTGGGTGTCCGGAGTCGAGCTTACGGATCTACTTGGACGCGCAGTCGGCAAACGCGGTGCTCACCGACACGATCGCCGCAGGATTGGACAAGCAGGTGCGCTGGGCCTCCGCTGGTAGGAGGATGTACGCGCGGCCAGATTTTCTTGGGCCCCCCCATCATTGATGGCGCCGCAGGTGGGCAGCACGTTCACGAATGGAGTCTACGTGCCACCAGCTTCGGCCATTTCTCCGTCGCCACTGGCGCCCAAAGCATCGCGAGCAGCCTCGCCAGCTCCGCCACCAGGGAAGTCCCCAGCGGGGAAGTCAAGGGCCCCTGCCAAAGGTACCGCCGCCAGCCTCCACGATTCCAGCGGGCTTGTCTCCTCCGACATCCTGGGCGGCGGTGGGCGCGCCCTTCGCTTCGCCGCGGGGCAGCGCGGCAACCGCCTCGCCCTTCGCGGCGCCGGAGGTGCCCTGCGCGCCGCCGCCGCTGCCCGCGGGCGCCCCTGAGCGCCCTCGGCCAGCGGCCTGGCAGCGTGGCTTTCTGGGGCCAGCCGCGTGGACCGCGCCAGGTGGCTGTCGCCGGGCGCCGCGCTGATGCTGGCG